TAATCTTCAAATTTTCATTATGTTAATAATTCTATAGCATAGGACTTATTTTCTTGCTGCGAATATTTCAGAATTGTTAGGAAAATTCAAAATAATGACAAATCTTCTTAATATGAGTTATTTTCAACATTTATTAAATTAATAATACTTTCCTTTCCTTCTAATATCATATATTTCTTATATTGGACAGTTATGTTCTTGGTTATAAATGCTTCCTCATTTATCTCATTCCTCCCAAATAAAAGAAACATAATGATAAATCTTCCATTTTGATGTTATTTTCACCATTTATTAAATTAATACTTTTTTTTACACTTTCTTATATATATATATATTAATATATTTCTTAGATTAACTAATATTTTTTATATAATATATTCATTTTATTTTCTGTAGAAAGGTTAATTCCAAACAATACACTACTTTAAAAAAAATTGAAGGAAAGTGATATTTTCGCCATTCTTATACGAGAGAGAGAACTGAAGTTATAATTTCCTATATACAAAGATATTTTGCTTTCCTCTTGGATCGTAAGATAATTTTATCACAAAATAAACCAAAAAGATTCCCTACAAAAATATTAGGCTGTTTGGGCGGTATAACGTTATTTTGACGTGTTGTGGATGAAGGTCATGCCAACGATTTTAAAGGCCACTTTTTTTCTAGATTTTGTGCTCTAATTATCTTAGGACACAAATGGAAAAGCAAATAGATATATATATGTATATATAAGTATATACACCTATATAGGTGTATTTAGCACCTAGTAGTATGGCATATATTAAGAGTTGTCATTATTTTGAATTTCCCGAACAATTCTAAAATCTCTCGATCAATTCGCAGCATTTATAACCAAGAACATAACTGTCCAATATAAGAAATATATGATATTAGAAGGAAAGGAAAGTATTATTAATTTAATAAATGTTGAAAATAACTCATATTAAGAAGATTTGTCATTATTTTGAATTTTCCTAACAATTCTGAAATATTCGCAGCAAGAAAATAAGTCCTATGCTATAGAATTATTAACATAATGAAAATTTGAAGATTAAGAGTGAAATCGGGAAAAAAATGACTTATTTTAAGGTATTTTTAATATTCTGAGCAATTTCGAGCATGAATAAACAAGAAAAACAAAAAAAAATATGGTCCTAGAAGCGCCCGACGCAAGAATCCGAATAGAAAATCTTTATTTTGTATCAGGATATTAGGAAGTTGCAGGAGCTCACTTTTCGAACCGACCAGGAGCATTAGTAGTGCTGCTATCTGTTGGCAGAACATAGGAACTACGAATTTTATTCGAATTTTAGCGAGAAACTCGTCGATTTGTATCAGGATATTAGGAAGCTGCAGGAGCTCACTGTTCGAATCGACCAGGAGCCTTTGTAGTGCTGCTGTCTGTTGGCAGAACATAGGAACTACGAATTTTATTCGAATTTTAGCGAGAAACTCGTCGATTTGTATCAGGATATTAGGAAGCTGCAGGAGCTCACTGTTCGAATCGACCAGGAGCCTTTGTAGTGCTGCTGTCTGTTGGCAGAACATAGGAACTACGAATTTTATTCGAATTTTAGCGAGAAACTCGTCGATTTGTATCAGGATATTAGGAAGCTGCAGGAGCTCACTGTTCGAATCGACCAGGAGCCTTTGTAGTGCTGCTGTCTGTTGGCAGAACATAGGAACTACGAATTTTATTCGAATTTTAGCGAGAAACTCGTCGATTTGTATCAGGATATTAGGAAGCTGCAGGAGCTCACTGTTCGAATCGACCAGGAGCCTTTGTAGTGCTGCTGTCTGTTGGCAGAACATAGGAACTACGAATTTTATTCGAATTTTAGCGAGAAACTCGTCGATTTGTATCAGGATATTAGGAAGCTGCAGGAGCTCACTGTTCGAATCGACCAGGAGCCTTTGTAGTGCTGCTGTCTGTTGGCAGAACATAGGAACTACGAATTTTATTCGAATTTTAGCGAGAAACTCGTCGATTTGTATCAGGATATTAGGAAGGTGCAGGAGCTCACTGTTCGAATCGACCAGGAGCCTTTGTAGTGCTGCTGTCTGTTGGCAGAACATAGGAACTACGATTTCTTATTGCCCTGTTGGATGGTGCTGGTCTCTAGCGGCAATTTTAAGAACTGCGTTCAAGTTTCGTCTTCCCTAAGGAGGTTCCCTGGATAGTGCTGCTATCTGTCAACATTTTTTTTAACTAAGTGCCGTTTCGGGTTCCCTGGATGATGCTGACCTCTTTTAACGGATTTTGGAACTAGTATTTCGTTTTGTATGTTTATTGGATAGTGCTGCTCTCTTTTTTTGGGTTTTAAAACTTTTATTTAAACGTTTTGTTCGATATTGTTGCTATATTTATATAGTTGTGAAAACTATTATTCAAAATTCGTTTAAACTTATAAAGGATCACTAAAATTGTTGTTTTCGCCGTGTTATATTGTTTAAACGTTTATTAATGTAATTGTTAACGCAACAGGCCTCCAAAATCTTCCATAATTTGTTAATAAGTTAAAATTGCATGTAATAAATTCTATGAAATGTTTTCTTTCTGAAATATATTGTCTTAACTGTTATCTAACCTAAGTCAGTGTGATTCTTTCATGTCTTAAGTAATGCATTATTTCATAATGTTGTTTTCATTACAAATTACATAATTTAGTTTAATCCTTTATCAATAGTTTCTCAAAAGTGTATATAGTGAGTCGAGTGAAGTTTTGAATGAATCTAGAGATATACAGAGAGTGTGTAACTGTGTTTATAAATACTGATATGAAAGTTGTGTTGTGTATTTTTAAATATATGGTAAACCATAATAGTCTAAAGCAAATAAATATATTTCTCTAAAGTGTATGGAGTGAGTGAAGTGCAGTTTTTAATACATCTAGTGACATCGACAGTGAACTGTACTTATAAATATAGTGGATATTTAGTCATTTTGTTATGTATTAAAATATAATAGAAGAATACAAATAAATGTGTTTCTGTGAAGAGTAGTTTTCAGTTTATCCTATTCTTTCTTTATAATTAAACATTGATACTCATTTATGTATCTATTATTAACTACACATTTATATCTTCTGAATGTACATATATGTAATTCAAAGTAAAAATGTTTGCTATTTTTTTTTTCAAATGTTGAAGGTAAGTTTCTACAGTTTTCTATTTATCGAATTGTTCATATTTATAATGAATAATTCAATCTCAATTTTCTCAATGTGGTTCTTTTAAATTTTAACACTGCCTTTCATTTAAAATCTTTTGATAGTTGAAATCTTAACATTTTAAAAATACTTTCTGAAAATTATCTTGTGCTAATTGTTAATACTATAGAACAATTTGATTGGCTGTGGTTTATACCATGGAACAAATTATCAGGATTCAATCATTATTTTATTGTGAAGTACAACTCTCAATGCAAACTTTTGGGTGTTTATCAAGGATGAAATTAAATCAGGTATAGAAGAAATATATAAATGTATGTAGTACAGACAAAAATAAATAACAAAAACATAATAAAAGCAAGTAAATGAAGGATAAAGGGAGTAGTAAGAGTATAAATACTAACCGAGACTCTATTTTACTTTCTTCTTGAATGCGAATGTGCTATTTGAACACTATTATAAATATCCTTAATTGTGACAGATTATATCTCTCAATAAATATGTTTAAAGAAAAAAAAAAAGACTTTAACTTTATTTTTATAATTGCTTAATTTATCATTATTTACTTTTATATATAATTTTTCTTTTTGCATCAAAGAAAAGGAAAGTAGAAAAACAAACTGTCTGAAGTTCAAATTTTATTTTTTATTGTATGAAATTTGGGTTGTAATACATAAAACTTTTTTCACAAGTTTATTTGTTATATATTTTACAAAATTACAAACAACATTGAAGAGAAATAAAAATAACCATTTATATTACACTACATTTTTCTCATTTATATTATATAATTACTAAGTAAAGAGTACAAGAATATCAGGCAGATATTATTAATTTAATAAAAAGTGCAGTACGATGGACTATATCTTATATTCTGATAAAATAATTTCAATTATTCATGGAACTATTACATAATCTTGAAAAATATAATGGAAATATGAATATACACACAAAATAAATCTTTTAATAAAAGTATTAAGAGAAGTAAATATAACATTTAATAATTTTAAGTTTTGGGGAAGATAAACCCTTTTCTTTTCAACTCATGTAGTAAACACCTTCAAATGTTTTTCTGAAAAAGAATTGTTTTAGTTATTCTCTTATTACTTTTTGTTAATTATACATATCATCTTACCATATTGATTCAACTTGATGTAATACTTATTAAAATATTCTTTATTTATTTTATAATAATTACAAGTATTAAAGACATGAATTATTGCAATAACAATAATTAAATTATTACAATAATGATTACAGGAATTAAATGACAGGAATAATTACAATAATGAATCCAAAATTTAAGAAGGAAAGTTCTTGTCCAGCGTGGAGAGTTCTTGCAGGGACTTCAAATCATTGCCCTGCTGATGACCCACATGCTTGGGTTCAAACGTAGGCAAAATCAATAAACACTTTTTTGACTGCACATCCTGACCATTTTTCATTTTCAATTTACAATTTCAACAATCAGTTATATATTCATCTCTAAAATAAATAACATCAATAGTTTCTATAATGATTACAAGAAATAAATGACAAGAATAATTACAATAATTAAATTTAATGAATAATTACAACTATATAACATGAACAATTTTTATGGCTCTCATTATATGAATTATTGTTTTGATTCTGCCTTCATTATCTTCAAGTTCTTTAGCCATATTGGGAAGTACACAGTCTCATTCTGGTGTCCGAGGTGTGTTGCCTATTTCTCTAAGTGGTGGTTCCAGGCCTCTGGTTAAGTATACATAGATGAAAACTGCACGACTCCCAATTTGGAGTCTTGAAAATATTAATTTTTTTGATGTGGATTCAACTGAAGAAAATTTAGATGGCAGAATATCTAGTTTCATGTGTGATTTGTGTTAATGGTCGCATTAATGCCATTTTTTGCCAGAGACATCTCCAATCAGCGGGTAGTTTATCATTTCTACGGATTTTCTTGAAGAAGATTGTAGAAACTAGATAAATATCTAAAAAAAAAAATCATATATGAGTTATTGTTTCATTATAATTAAATTGTTATATTAGATAAGTTTTTAACATTATAAATTCTTTGTTATTACATATAAAAGGCTTTTTTAAAATGTATTGTTGTATGAAACAGCGTTGAGTCCAATAAAAGTTCATTTAGGCTTATTTTAAATTAGCTTACAAAATATTTTAATTTAAATATTATTTTGTAAATAATAAATATAATTATAACTGAAGATAGTCAAATCATCTATTAATATTTATTTGAGAAGGCGTTGGCAATGGGGTGTGGTAAAATTAAATACTATTTATTATAATAGTATTTTACTGGATATGCCTATATAATATTATTTAATCTGACTACAGCCTCGATCAACTCCATCTCAAATTATAATTATAGTAAACCATATTCACATTACTATTATTTATGATTTAAGATAAATGTACCAATAATAGGCAATATTCAACTCATAAATCGATAGTAAGCTTTATATGTCAAAAAGAGAGTGCAAATGTAGAGTACATTTGGAACTAGAACACTTAGCAGGGTGATGGTTGAACCTCAAATGATTACCAATTGCCAATTGATTTCTTCATAATATAAGCCTGAGGTTTCTTTATTACATTTCTTTAGGAGGTAAGTTTGAAAATTTTATTCATTATTATGTGGTTTGATATTTATTAGTTTCATTTTTGAAGTATTTATTTTGGTTTTCTAATTATATAAATTCTATTTACTCCAAAAACTCGAATGTCTATTATCGGTACAAAATACGCTGTCAGAATTCTTTAAGTTTTTCATGAATAATTAACTAATTGATTTTATATAAAAAAATGTTATAAAGGACTAAATATTCTGTCAATTAACACCATTTGCAAAGACCCACCTCCAGAACTTAAGCTGTGGTTCAAATTAATGTTGAAAATTTCACTAAAAGTGTCTATTATCAGTACATTTACCTTAATTTTTATTATTTACATGAAATAAGTCTTATTATGTAACAGTGATACAATCATAATCCGAAGTGTATTCAAAAAACAAATTGTAGATAGAAAAGCTTTATATAAGCAAACTGAGAAGTAGCATGAGATATTTACCAAGTTTATTCCTGTTTTTACATAATTTCTAATGCTTGTTTGCATTAAGTTTACACTTCATATGATAATTATGGGATTTGTAGCAAACACATATAAAGTAGTTATGAATGAATAGGATTTATTCAATAAATTGTTGTAAGTTTGATTTTTGTTTCAATTTTACATTATCCAGTTCCATTTACTACCAGAAAGTTATTTATATACAGTTTTCTTTATGTTTAAGAATTTTTTTCACGTTATTAGAAATTTTTAACTAGAACATTCAACATAGTTAGACAAATCAACTTTCTTAGTGTTTTAGATCTCTCAGATGGATTGCATATGTTGATTGATCAAGAAACGTTTTATTATTAGCAGAAATGTTCTAAATGACAAACAAGTATTTTTTTAAAGATCAATGTATAATTAATTGAGTAAAAATTTAAATTATGTATGGTAATTTTATCCTTTACGTAATAAATATATATTATAAATGAGCATAATATAAGTGGTTATTTTTATTTGATTTAAGTGCCGTTATAATTTTGCAAAATATATACTAAATAAACTTGTGTAAATGTTTTATACAGTCCAACCCAAATATATACGCATATCTATATCTTTTGCATATCTGATTTAAATTCAGCATTGAAGAGGAGTCTAAAGTTTGCATTGAAATGTTGGCTTTTGTAATAAAATAATAATGATTGAATATATATATGTTTCATGATATACATCACAATCAATCAACTACAATCAAAATATCTTATTACATTCACTTTGAGCAGAGGATGATTTTTAAATATTAATTTTAAAATGTTATGATTTTAACTATCAAATGATTTTAAATGGGAGCCGACTTTAAACTCAAAAGGAATACTTTGAAAGAGAAAATCAAGAATGAATAATTCTCTATGAATATGAATCGTTTAATTTTCTTGCAACCTTTGAAAACAATTTAAGCAAACTGTTATAATTTGAATCAGATATAAATTCAAATAATTAAAGCCTGTAGTTAATATTATAGAGCAATGAGCATATAAGTGTCATCTATGACAAAGTCTTCTGTTACAAATAAAGATTTGGGTAAACTTAAAAGAACCTGCCACAGAAACACTTCTTTTTCTTTCCTTCTATTGCTTTTTACCATATGTTTAAAAATACTCAACTATTAGGTATCCATAATAATTATAAACACAATTCACTGTTGATACCTCTTGAAGGCATCTTTAAAACTTCATTTCACTCATTATTAAAACTTTTGAGATACTTGTGATAAATATTTAAACCAAATTATGTAATTTTTATTATGTAATGAAAAAATATTACAAAATAATCTATTATTTAAAACATTACGATAACAGACCCTAACTCAAATCTATATAACTTTCAACAATATACTTCAAGAAGAAAACAAATAACAGGATTTATTACAGACAATTTTAACTTATGAGCACATAATGGAAAACTATGATGGTCTGTCACATTAAGAGTTAAATAAATAAACATTTAAACAATGCCACAATGCAAAAATTACAATTTTAGTAATTGGGAAGTTAAAAAAAATGTTGAAAAAATAGTTTCTGCAACCGACAGAAGACAGTTGCACTATCAAACAAAAATTTTGAATAATAGTATTAAAACCTTTAAAAAAAAAGTGTAGCACCATCCAATTAAAATAAAAAAGGCACTAATTACATAATTTAAACTAAATTATGTAATTTCTAATGAAAAAATATTACAAAATAATCTATTATTTAAAACAAAAAGAGGTATATACATTATTTAAATTAAAAAATACATTATTTAAAACAAAAAGAGGTATAAAGATAAAATTATATTGTATGAGAGGCTTGATAAGACTATTTAACCGGCAAGTTGAGAAGCTAAGGAATACAAGTAGATAACTAATTATTTTCACAGATTTCTTGATAATTTATTATCGGAGATAAGACCAAGATAACATGACAGAAGTTGTAACCTGAGGAATAGCGATGGACCAGACGACTAATTGTGCTGGCGATGGCTCAGCAATGGTGGTTTTTTATTTTGCTTCTAGATCAATTAATTTTCGTTATAAAAGAAATGAGAAAAAAATGTTAATATTAAGAAAACAAGTGATTCCTTTTACTGGAGTAACATTGAAATTCACAAACATTGCGTTCATTGTTGATTCGCAAAATGGTGTTTACCTTTACCGTTTGTGTGTATATAAAGAGTGTTGAAAAAATAATTTTTTTATTTAATCTTGGAAACAATTTAATTTATTTATACGTAATGCTTAACAATATCAATCATTAGTTTCGCCAAATTTATTTTAAACAAAACTATCTGCATTACAAATTTCAAAAATAAGTTTTTGAAATAAAAAGAAATGTTGGTTTTAAAAACCTATCTTGTTTGTGTCATTTTTATAACAGGTTTTATTTTAAGTTGTATAACTAATTTCTAAGAAAATGATTGTTATTTCTTTTCTAATTTTCTGAATTGATAGAAGTTAATCAAATGTTTAAAAAAAAATACGTATCTTCTTAATGAAATGTGAACCAAACCTTTTGATAGAAATTGAAAGTCAGGCTTGAATTCTATGAATTGACCATCTTGTCTGAGTTTTTGTCCTGTCATCAAACCATTGCTCTGATAATTTTTTGACTGTTTAATTCTTTTATATGTTTTATTTATTTTCTGTTGACCCTCCGCTTAAATCCAGTAGGTTGTTTCTTAACTCAGCATAAATTGCCATCAATCGATTGATGAATTCTATCGATGCAATGAACGCTGAGTTTATAAAATTGCCATTTAAAATTAATATTATTATCTTAAAGGTTCTTAGAAATAGTCTGGTTTGTTGTTGAATCCGTAAAAACTCCTCTCTTTGCGAATACCCTTTTGAGTTATAAATGCAGTTAAAACTTCAAGCCATTTGTTAAAACATATATTTCAACAACCAGCTTACAAATATTAAATAAATTATGAAATGTAAAAAGAAAAGGGAGGAAGGCATGTAGCTTTCGGTTCCGCAAGCTCATGGCTAATATTCACATTATTTATTTAGAATTATTTGAAGTTCTCCAACAAATGACGTTTTTAAATATTCTATTATTTACAGAAATGAAACAAATGCACTGTTGATTTTAATTTAATTTTGATAAAAATATTCTCAATATTAACAAAAACTTGCAACTTCGGCGGTAAGTACCCCTCATAAACTTCTAAAAATATCGCCAGATTCACATCGATTCTTATTTAGATCGGATATTGAATTATTGGAAGCGATTTTTAAGATCGTGTTGGAGGAAAAAATGGGGAAAAATATGGTAGAAGTGCTGGCCTCATGGTAATAGCGGTGAAGGAAGAAGGGAAGAGATGAAGTGAACGGCTGTTTTTAAATAGTCTTTTAAATGTATTTACTTCTTAACTTGAAAATTTTGAATATTTTTATAAACATCATTCCAGGGAAGGCTGCAACGGTTTCCAAGATTGCAGGCAGCAGACGCTATTAGTGTACAAAGAGTCTATTCATAAAAGATTCTTTGATATTTGATGTTGTTCTGTTTGTATAATTAAAAAAAAAAATATAAATAAGATATTCATTAATTTGTTATGTCGAATACAGCTTATCTAGCATCTGAGATAATAAACGAAAAGAAAATGGTTTTCTTTGTTGTAACGAGGCAGGTTCTCATTTCGGTTAAATTTTAGCTTTGAGTATTTTTGTTATTGTTTATGAAACTCCTTTTCGAAGTTTGAATTTACTGAAGATAAAGGAACCTTTGAGGACGAAGGATATAAAATGGAGGAGCTTGATGACCGCTCCCCACTCCAGTAGAAGCCGAAGACTTGGCAGCATTCTGTTCAGTGACTCTTCTACTTTTTGGTCTTTTCATTTGGAGTTTCAAAATGTAAGTCTGAGTACCTGTACAATATCAATGTTTAATTATTTAATCTATTTTCTCTCAGGTTTTTTATTTTATTTGCTAAACCCACTTTATTTTATACTTACTTTCGTGATCGTTTGTTGGGGCTAAGACTAGACCTTTCTTAAGTGGACATTATCAGCCTTTGGTTTTGATTAAACCATTTTGTTTAAATTAATTTTGTGCATGGCATATTCTTGATAAGTTTTCTTTTATTTCTTATCTCACTTTATTATGTTCAAAATACCTAGTTTTTGTTCATTCAGGAAATGCAGATACATTGGATAATATTAATGAAAGTGTTCAACCAAAATCGTTGAATGCAAATCATTGGGGTTAGGGTCATACAATTGAGGGGTACTTGTGACCAATCTTTAGTAAGGGCCCCAACCTCTATTGAAAATGACCCAGCTGGGTTTTTATAAAAATCTGTTTTTAACAAACCAAAGCTGAAAACCAGGATATAAATGAAATGGTAGTAATTTTTATAGCTGAATTATTAAAGGAAGTTCGTCGACTGTTCTACATATCATAGGTGACAAACATTCAGGACGCAGCCATACACATTGTAACAAATTACTGATAGATTCAAAGCTTGTAAATTGAAGAGTGTGAATAATGCAAAAAATAAAATATTTTCCTTGTGTTGAGATGTACAATCAGACTGGCTGAAACTCACAATCATTATCAATTTGTTTGTTTGCTAAAGTTCTGTTCTCAACAAAGATTCCTAATTTCCTTTATTTAAAACAAATTATAAATTTGTATGATATAATCAAAGTCAAATAAAAATATAATTTTATTAAAAGCAAATACACACACAAAAAAAAACTAGTAATAATTTATATTTAATAAAATATTAAATTCATTTTGCAGGACAATCATTGATCGAGAAATCAACTATTTAAACTTTAAACGAGATATTCTACCTCCCATACGACTCATTTTGACTCAAAATCCCGATTATCCATATATTTTTGAATGCAGAGGATGCAGAAGAGTTTTCTCAACATGGACATCATTTCAAACTCATCATTGCTTTTCTATGTATTGAATGTATGCAATGTTCTGTGTATTGAATTTCCTTTTTAAATATAATGTAATGAGGGTATGTATCCGTATGGAAGGGTATGTATACGTATGCAATGTTCTATGTACTAAATTTCCTTTTTAAAGACAAAGTAATGAGGATATGTATGAAATGTTCTCTGTATTTAATTTCATTTTAACGAAAATGCAATAAGGATATGTATGAAATGTCCTGTGTATTGAATATATGCAATGTTCTATGTACTGAATTTCCTTTTTAAAGAAAATGGAATAAGGATATGTATGAAATGTTATATGTATTGAATATATGTAATATTCTATGTATTGAATTTAATTTTTAAATACAATGCAAGGTTGATATGTATACAATGTTTTATGTTTTTAAATAAAAAAATAAATAAAATGAAAGTGAAGTCGTTACTCTCCTTGTTAACTTAAGGTTTTGTATTTAATATCGATTGTCAAATCATTTTTTGTCAGTAAACTTGTAAGTTGTAATAATTATGTTTTCAGGCACATCAGATTTAGGTAGGATCTCATATTTTGATTTCATCATGTATTTTTTAATATTAAAACCATTGTTATGAATATACCAGCTAATAAGGTATACCATAAACTGGTGTTGCTTTTACAATTTTTATACGCCTCTACAATTCTGAATATTGTAACTTTGGGACGACATATTTTTTAGATTTTAATGGCATTGATATTGATGATGGTTTCATCCTAATCAGTTCTTCTTTATTTGCTTGTATTTATGATCTTTATTATGGTTACATTTTTCATTATATCTACCTTCCTTTTTAATGGAAACTATTGTCCTCTAAGAAAACTTTCCACATATCCCAATTCCTACTTAGAAATTTTGGGTTTAGCTAGAATCTGCTTCTTCTGCTGAGAATGGAAACTGTGATCTTTGTTTTTTGTTTACTTATCGTTCTAATTTTGGTGGGATGAGTTTTTTCTCGTTGTAGCTACACTTCATCTTCTCAATAAGATGTCAATATTTTTGGGTAAGATAGTCTGTCAATAGCTGTTAACATTGCAATTAAGGTAATCTAAGAAATTTGAGTTTACCTGGAAATAGCACTTTTTGGGTAATAAATCATTCAGCCTAGATGGGCTGTATACTTTATATAGTATGTGTATGTGTAGATACTGCATGCTCGTTTTCAAAGTTTTTTATTTAAAAAATCCCTAAATCAAGACTTTTGATTATAGAAACAAATCTTGATAATAAAACTCATCTCACAACAAAAAATATTGAACTAGTTATTGAAGGTATTTTAATGAGGGTATTTTAACAACAAACCAGATTTTTTAACTAAATAACAAATTTATTAATAAACTTTGCACCACAGTACATATTTCACAGAGCAGTACATTTGTATATATATAATTGGTATATTAACAAAAATATCTTCTAAATACTAGACATCAAAATTAAATACTCTTGTCATTGACTGTATGAAATTGATAAAAAAATATGTACAAACCATGATATACCAAGTGCGTTCAATAAATTAGTGCATCTGGTTTTTCCTTAAAAATATCAATGTTAAAATATCTGTATGTTCCTTTACCGCAAAATAGTTTGTTTAGGTCAACACCTTTAAAGAAAGGAACCATTTTAAAATTAATTTAATAATGTTGATTAAATATGTAAAAAAAAAAAAATCATGGAATATATTATTTTGCTAACATTTATAATTTATTGTGATATTGATGCATAGGTTATTAAAAAAATAAAAAGTCAAATTATGTACAACCTAATTTCCAATACAAACATTTTCATGATCAGCGTCAATGACTGCTTCCTTTACAAAGAGCTTGGAACTCTGTTACAATATTAAAATTTACACTTAATCACAGCTCTTTAAAATGAGCATTCAACAATGTATATATCTTATATACAAATTTATATCATTGTTTATATACATTGAAAAATATTTGATTATAATCTGGCAATCCGTAGAAAGGAATATATAAAAACACAAGAGATTTCCATATTTCAGAAATCCTTTGGTTTTCAGTTCAACATAATCGTGTTATAGAAGGATACATGACTTAGTATTTGGGCTTTTCATATTCCTATAGTTTCCTTTTTTCTTTTTTTTTTGTCCATGAATTCTACTGGTTCCAAGACAGTCGAGTTTTAGTACTTTATTGTACTTAAAGTACTCTGACTGTCAGAAAGAAAGGAAAAGAAGAAAAAGAAATTTTTTAAGAAATTTAAAAAAAATGTATTAAAGCAAATATTCTTAACTATTTTCTAAAAATTAATTACTAAATTTTCATTTATTATATTTGAATTCATAGAAGTGAAATTTGTTTTTGATCAGTCTTGAAAAGTTAATTAAATTTTGAACATAGGCAAAGTGGAAATATAATAAGAATAATTACTAAAGATAGACAAAATATAAACATCGGAACGAAGAGAATTAATTAAGTTGGGGCTTAGTTTACTTATTAATCTTGTTGAGCCAACAGTTCTCAATGTGACAATAAATAATACGTACTTAATATTTTCGATTCTTGTTGGTTTTGAAATATTTTCTCAGAGCTGTTTTACTTTACTTTTCACTGGAACGATAATTTTTATTTTAGTTTTGTGTATTATTATCCTATTCTAAAAGGTTTAAAGTACTATTGGTCTTCCTCAGCTGGGCCCTCCACGGGATGATCACCTCTCTCTCTTCCTCCTTCTTTTCTGGAGGTTTCACCACAGTTTTCTCTGGCTGCTTTACCACAACCTTCTCAGGTGATTTCACCAACGGCTTTTCTGGTGGAATGTTGTTCTCTTTGTTTTCTGGTAGTTCTTTAGCAGGTGAAGGCTTGCTATCCTCGGTACCATTTGGAACAGGACCTCTGGAATAATAATAAAAAATACTTGTGTCAATTTTTAATTGTAGTAACAGAAATTTCTTTTAAAATCTTTTTGATGGTAAATGAAATATGTAATGTTTTATAACAATATATTATTTAGTTAGCGAAAATGGTTTTGAATTGAAAATTAAAAATGATGAACGATTGATTGTGTCAGGGATGCCCAGAAGAGGGTTATATGGCGCAAGTTGCGTCATCAAAATTTATAAGGGGAGCACTTTTTGACGGGGTTTTCAATTTATGAGGGGGACCCATTTCGACGGGATTATGAATTTTTCAAAATGAAAAGTTTCAAATTAAAAGACATGTGGAAGCACGGAACAGAATATGTATATAATTGTATATGGTGTGGATGGGCACCCCTGGATTGTGTTGAACTGTAAGGATTGTATATTAATTAGAAGTAAATCTTTTTAGTAAGTTTATTTATTTTTTGATCTTCATGTTCTCCAATAAGGATAAGAAAGATAGCTTACCAACCATTCATGCATCGCATATACTTTTTTCTGAAAGGTTATGAGATTAAATAGGATTTTCTAAAAATCCTATGGTAAGATATAAATACTGACAAGCTAATGGCTTGGGAAAATAGATTAGACCTTGGCCGAATTATGGCTGCCCACAAAAATAATTAAAGTTTTCAACTTGTTTACTTGCCAAATTTTATAGTTTCAAATCACAAAAAATTTAATTAATCATTTTTTGATTCTCACCATTTATTTAAGAGGTATATATATATATTTTCGATTGGCGCTACAGACCATGAAGATCTTTGACCGCGAGTGTAGCCTCATAGACCACATCCCGATTCCCGATTTAAAGTAAGGGGTAGGGTCATCATTCCTACCCACCGTAGGTGTGAGTTGTCTCCAGTAGGCTGACGGGCTCACATACCCGCAGCGTGGCTTTCCTTGGTGGTGGTCGGTCACCCATCCAAGTGCCAGCCACGCACAGCGTTGCTTAAATTTGATTACCTATAGGAAGCGCCTTAACCCGCAAGGCTACCCCAGCCCCTATATATATATATATATATTTTTTTTTTTCCTTTTTTCGTGTATAGCACTGCAAGACCACAAGGATCTAATGTGTGCCATGTCTTAATTGTCCTATTATTTATAGTATTCAAAAATTATTTTTTCCCTTTTTTTAAATTTGGCACATTTCACATTCTCTGAAACCCACCCTTCAAAGTGTGGTTAAAACTTCCAGAATATTTTTCATCGAAACTATTCAAGGTATCCTCATGAAATTTTGCTAAAAGTTTGTATATTATGCCTAAAAGCAGCAAAAAATGCTTTTGGTATTATCCTATTTTGTCGCAAAAAATCTTTATATATCATTTCTGAAAGGTGTTCTTCTTATCAGTATGCTATATCTTTGTTAATATTTCATGAACTCCAATGACTGATTCTATCATTTTGAAGATCATTTCCTCCTATGCCATAAAAGGTATATATTTTCCAGAAAAGTTATGAAGAAAAAAAAACTTTATTGGCTAATTTTTCAAAAAGTATACATTTTATGATGGATTAGACCCCTGATAGTTTGAAAGGTTTCTAAATTCCCTATAAAACAAAAATAAAATATCATCGAAATGGGACAATTATTAACAAAATAACAGCTTATTAGAATTTATACATATTTTGGTTTATTTTTCCACAAAGGAACCATTTTAGTTAACTGAGAAAAACAAATTAATTTTCTAATAATATATTGCATTAAATTATTTTCATATTAGACTAATATTTGATCTGTAGCAAAGATTGGCAGCGCCCCTATCCAAGTGTTTTCTTGTTGCGCCTGTTCCCTCTTCACCGTCTTTTTAAAAAATACCTACTTTATCCTTAACTCATCCCGGGGTACTTAGGCTCGCTATATTTTAAAAATCCCTCCTAAACATACTTAATAGAACACTTTATTCAGTAATATAAAATTATTCAGAGAAAATATTTCTAAATTGTATAAGGGACATTTCTATGTTAGAGATTTTACATAATATTTGTATTCACTATTTACGTTATATGTACTTTACGTTCTTACAGAATGATAGGCATATCCTACGGATGAATAAATCCTGCATATGAAAACTTACGGAATTCATAATAAACTGCTTAAGATGTGTTTGTAAAATTTTAGCAACACTGAGCTCAGATAGTTTGACTTTTATCAAATTAACTTTCCTAAAAACTTGTATCTCCTACCAAATAAACAAATAAAAATAAGAATGTCAACTTTCAGAATGTTTGCTACAAATTCGCATTCAGGCCCTGTTGCATTCCATCTGATTCGTTTAAGACATCATTCATCCAGCATTCTTCTTCACATTTTGCATACTTACTAAAATCAAGTTAACCACTATTATTTTTACTATTAAATGCATTTAGTAAGTGTTATTCTGAATCGAATGAAACAAAAAGTTAATCATAGCTTTACATATTTTTGTGATTACGACAATATATTTTCAATTCTGAGTAAAAATAAATCTGATAATTCAAGTCAACACTGTAGGGCAAAAATTTGAAGATTTAAATGAAAATTGAGATAATTTATTTTTAAATAGATAGATTTATAATTATTACAAAATATGTAACTAAAAGTTTAAGAATAAATATATTTTTTTTTAATCAAAATTCTCTGTTGAAGCAGTGCCCTTATTTTAAAATTATTAATATTTTGTTTTATTTTCCATTTTTCAATTTTGATCTGCATTCTAAATATCTTTTTACAGTTATTTGTTTGCCTTTTTGTCAATTCAATTAATAATGAATTGAGTTTTTGATCACTATTTGGGACCTTTCAGGAAATCTTCTTTTCCTTCTTCAGCAATATTGTTTACCCTAAAAATTGGGTAAGTCACTGTATTTAATAAGTTTGGTCAAAGGCCAATAGCCAACTTTCAAGTTAACTTTTAGTTTAGGATAAGCCTTTGGCCTTTGACCAAGCTTATTAAATACTGTGACTTACCTAATTCACAGCAAACAATATTGCTGAAGGAGGGAGCAAAGATTTTCCGAAATGTCCAAAAATAAATAGTGATAAAAACTAAATTGATTAATAATTGAATTGACCAAAAGGCAAACAAAGAAATGCAAAAAAAAAAAAAAAAAAATGTGTTTTATGATGTTTTCATAAAATCGCTGTTTTATTTGTATTTTTAAGGGTTACATCGAGAAAAACTGCAGAAAATAGTTATTGGTCTATGTTCTAAGGATGTTAAGGAAATATAATATAGCACAAAATGTGTGCTTGGAATAATTTCAATTTAAGGTTTTTTTTTCCGCCTCAGAACCACTGTTTGCTCTTACTTTTACCTTAATAATAACATATTGCTGTTATACTTCAACATGATATTTATTCTATAATGATTAGGAGGGTGAGTTTTTGTAGCTCTGTCTTGAAAATTATGTAATCTCTTTCCACTAGCGGATCCAAGATTTTATTTTGGGGGGGGGGGCTTCAGCCCGAAAGCTTTTTTTTTTCATAAAAATGACGATAATTACTTTGGAAAAAAAGAAAGAAACTAACTATCTGTATGAAATGGTGTTTAAGTGATTCCTTAAGTCCTTTTATATGTGATTACACGAACAATAAGACTTTAAGAGATAATTTTTTTCCATAAAACATGGTTATATTTTGCCATTTTGGGGGGGAGGAGGCTTCAGCCCGAAAGCCCCCCCTCCCTCCCCCCCCGTAGATCAACCCGTGTCTCTTTCTACTTGGTGTTTTTTTTAAATGTTGGAGTAAAATTTGCCAGCTTTGGTTAATTTTACTATTTTATTGGCCCTGATGCCTGCCATATTACTTCCTGGTATTGAAGGTTCGTAATCTTCCAATGATATCCTAGTATATGGTATTATTATTGTATTGTTTTAAAGCGGTTGAGATGATCGTTCAATGTAAAATGAATGATATCATGAATAGATATTTAAAAAATAATTGTTGAAAATCATTGGCTGTAAGCATAACAGCAAAGTATCCAAAACTGTTACATGGTTTCAAACTTATTTGGCTTTGCCTTTATTGCCTTGAATAATTTGTTTAGCAACAAGTGAATCAATGAGTAAAAACAAATGCATAAAGTTGCTTCAAATGTCAAAATTTATAAATCGACCTGAAAAAACCCTTGCAGTTTTTCGACAAATATTTTCCTTAAATAGATTTTACAATGTTCGTTCGACTGATAATAGCTAAAAGTTTAAAAGAGTGACAGATCTCATTGCGTCAAAAAATGTTTGGTAGATAAGAGAATCACATGAGAGCTTACCAAATAAAGAGGCCCCCCTTTTTTTTTCTTCAAGATATAGATTCTTAAATGAAGATAGTGAAAAATATCTACATGTCTGCATTATAATAGATTTGATATCTTTGTCGAACAACATGAGATAGATGTGAAAATCTGAGTAGTAAAAGTAATAATTCAAGATTTTGGCTTAAATTATTACTTTGCCCATCATTATGAAGCATCTTCGGACTTATAAAATATTATAACTGCTCAGGCAAAACCAACTGACTATAAAAAGTTTGATTTTTATATGTCGACACTTATCAATGAAGAATAACAAAATCTCTGAGAGGCAAAACTCATCGTCATTAAATCCATTTCAATAATAATAAATCCCCCGTGTAGCTCTGGTTCCAAATTTTACTTTTTACTTTATTCAAATTATCTAACTTCGGGAAGAAACAATATAAACACACATTAATGAAAAAAATAAAATAAAACACATGACTTAGGAATGTAACATGTTCTTTGTTATAATTTTCTTTTGCTTACAATAAAAGTTAGTGAAGCTTTTTTTATTTTCTACAAATAAAGATTTATGGTTTATTGTTCAAGATCTTTATTACAAAACTGTAAAATATTTTGTTTATAATCTAATGTTAGTTTGAATGAAGGGTAACTTCATAATCATAAATTTAAAAAAAAATTCTATAATAACATATCATTCGATAAGATTATTTAAGTTATTGGTATTAAATGGCTAGAAATTTATCGATTCAGGTCCCAAGATTTCATTAAATCATATCAGCTTTATACAGTTTAAATTACTTAATTTTATAAATTTTAAGCACAATTTTGTTTAAAAAAAAAATTACAATTCTTTACTTATCAAACTTATATAAAAATTATGAATTATGATAACATTGTATTGTAAACATGCAGTACTCCTTCACCAATGTTTTGTTCTCTCTGCTGCGTAAACATGGCTACTGACAAGCCTGTTCTGACCTATTGAAGAACATGCAATTGTAAAAATGAATTTATTAAACTGAACTAAACAGCTATAAAGATAGGAAATAGTATTTATTTCTCGGTTTGAGTGGGTTACCAGCCCACAAAACCAGGCAATGTGGAAAATGCTCAAGATAACTTCAAACGAATATTTTTACTCCACTGATAAGAGAAAAAGAATCGTGTGAACGTTATCAATGACTGTATATTTGGAAGAACCTTTCTACTGACTTCTTTTGAAGCAGGTGCCTCTTCCAGGCTGGAATGGCTTGCAGCCTTCTCGCCTCTGCCTCCTTCGCCAGCTGCTCCTCCATCTCCTTCCGAGCTTTCTCTGCTGCCTTCTTCGCTAGCATCTGCCTCTTCCATGGAGGGATCGGGTTGCCTGCTGCGTCTTTGTCAGGCATCTACATTTCACAAAATAATTAGTAAACATAATAAAGAAATTGGAAGTGAATATAATGCAAATTAATTTCATTAAAACAATTTTGAAACTAAAAATAAAGCAAAAAACTTGAATATCCATCCCTTGCAATAGCAGTAAGAACAAGCTTTTTAGGAACTGCTATTAATGGTAATTAATTTTACTCTAGGACTAAACTGTAATGTGCATTTGGTGATCAAATAAAACGCACAATACTTCAGCTTTTATGACTTCAAAGTAATTAACAATTACTACAATTACAATACTTCTTATGAAAATGGTGCAGGTGAATTTTCTGACGCCCAAAAGCTTTCTGGAAGATAATAAATATGCTAAATTCATTTCCATAATTTGACTAGATTATTTGTTTTGCACAGAGTTACAGAAAATACAAAATTAGTTATTCTGATGTTTGTATTGCTCTCTGAGATTTCTAATTATCAAACTAAAGTAATTAAAAAAACAAATAATTATTAATGAAAGGAAATACACACAGCATCACACCTGGAGATGCCATAGTAAATAGAGATACTATAGAGCATTTGAAATTATATCAAATAATGGGTTATTATCGGTTTTCATTAATATTGATTATTGGGTGGGAATTTCGTTAGATTGATAGTCACTTGAGTTGGCACTCTAGAGTATTACAAAACTTGGTTTGTTTGGGCTTAAAGCGTAAATAAATAATAATAACAAAAATGAATAAAGATAATATCATTATAAATAAACAAAGAAAAATATAAAGTTTATAAAAATAAAAATTATGTACATTTCTATATTTTATTAAATAACCTATGGGTTTTAAGGAAATTTATAACTGCTCAAAACTTTGTTATTACTCATTTTCTTTTTTTTTTTTAAGTAAAGGATCACTGTGAACCTAGTAGAATTTAGTTATGTCATTCTTTTCTTTTTTATCTACCGTCAAAGGCAAAATATTTCTATGTTATTAGTTATAATTACATATTTTTTACTTTGTAATTGAAACAAATATAATTTATATTATTTACAAAACAGTTAAAAAGATTTATAATAAAAAACAGTAAATTTAAAATAAACTTCTGTGGTTGGAATTTTAACAATTAGTAACTTTTAATTAAATTCTTTTGAATGGTGTTTGTGTGCTCTTGGTGCAATCCAAATGAAGTTGTTCATCTTTTGACTCTTTTAAAAACCATTAACAATAAATAAACAAGAAAGGTGGAAAAACAAATTATTTATAACACTGCTGTAGCGTAATGCATTATATTTCTGGTTGTTTGCCAGGTGTTTACTCAGGTGAGAAGAGAAGATCTATAGGCTTAATTTAATAGACTTATGCTCCATTAGAAAGACCATGAGAGTGGGCTCTGGCCTTCAAATACCGAAATACATTTAACGGTACTATTACTGTTGCAAGTTGTAGAATTTGGAGTGGACACTTTAATTTTAAATATTGAATAAGATATGGGTGTAGCTGGGAAGGAGAGGGAAGCAGTTACGCCTTCGTTCTAAATTTTAAAAATGAAAAATCAAATAGCAATGAATACAAACTACTGAAACATTGATTGACAACGATAGGCTAATTATTAGAACTTTGAACATTTTGAAAGAAATTAGTTACACTAAAAAGGATATCCCCTATTTAAAAAAGAAATGAAATAAAAAGTATTGAACCCATTTTGAGACAATTTTTTAGAGTTGACTAAATATTTGGAATTTGTCAGGTCTCGTTGATAAGATATGTGGTGAACAAAAAACGTATATGACTACATGTTGTGATATGAGAAAACAAATGAAATCTCTTCATTATAAAATAATAGTGCAAAACTTCAGAGGTTCATTATGGTATGATTTATTGTCTTCATGAAGATGGAACATCAAGTCATCAAAACATGGAAATAGTAAGTAAGAACCACAAAATGTTAATAAGAAATATCAAATTATATTTTTTTGATAAATATATTTTTATATTTGTCTCAAAATGTATTTTTTTAAAGCACACAATCAATTTGCATACAATTGATTTTTTTTTTTTTTATAAATATGGAAAACAATAAAAATACATCAATATGTACATATTTGATTTAAATTTTAGATGATTTTACAAATTAAAACATCAAAAAATCCACTTAATTTTAAATCAGTTAAATAAAAAATCCTTAAAAGTGTAATAGCAAATAGTTAATGAGAATTATATTAATACTAGTTGGCCTATGCAAAAAATTTACAGGAAATTTTGTTTAGTGAAGAAATAGTAAAACAATATGGAAATAAGTAGTTCCTATGTATTATGTAAGGAAGGAATTAATATTTTTTCCTTATTCGCTACAATATTCCATTAACAATAATAGACCAAAATATTTATACAAATTGCTTTGCTAGGACCTATTTTTAAAAGCTGACTGGAAAGATAATAAATGCAGTAGATTATTCTACTGCTAAATTCAATATCTTTAAACAGGAAGACATTATTAAGTGTACTAAAACTGATGGATTGTATCTTTTTTAATAATTGCCCGAATTTTATGATTTTTTTTTGTGCTGTAGGTTATTTAGTAATCTTTCTAATTATCATGGGTACAATCAAGAAAAAAATGCATACTTTTTGAGTTATTTGCAAATAAAGTTTCTTTTCCACCACAACTTTTTTCCAGAAATTTCAGGGGGATGGATATTTTTTACATTTCACTTACTATACTTTACTTACTATACTTCACTTTACTACTTCACTTTACTTTACTATACTTTACTTACTTTTTTTAATTTACTATTTTTCACATGTGAAGGAGAAGAATTTCTTCAAAATGAGTGGTCAATCATTGGATTTGATAAAGAATTGACGAAGTTATGGCGTACCGAGAAAAAAACACCTTTTAGAAATAATATATAGGATAACTATATTTTCATGTAATATTAATTTTAATTTATGACGGTAAACATATAAAACATTAAATTTTAAAAAGACAACTTTTTTTATAAATGCTAAATCAATATTAAAATATAACAACTTTCTTCATTGAAATCTTTTTAAGCCTAAAACTATTATCTTGTGCACAATAATAGGATAAATTAGGTAAATTATAAGTTGGCTGGATTTTGCAGAGACATCTTAAACTTTGAATCTTAACAAAAATGATCATGGGCTATTCTTTCTAGCTTTCTGTATGCAGCTCTGAAGCATATTTGTTGATTCGATCTACAAATCGGGTTTTTGGCCATTCATATGGTCTTTGTCAACTATTAAGGCATTTATTACTGTGTTCAGGCTTTTTGATGGATTGTTCCAAGCAGTATATCCTGCCCATCATTATCTCTTTGTCTTCATATTATAAGATATTGATTGACCACTCTCTTTAAGCAATTGTTTATTGATCCTTCTCAAAGCAAGTGTGCTGATCCCAAATTTCTCCTATTATTACACAGTGGATTTTCCTCTCAAATCTTACAATTAAAAAAAAAATATTGAGAAAAATTTAACTACACAAATTGCAAATGTTTGGCCTAAAGAATAATTTGATAGCAAAATTTATAATTTTTTTTTTACTTCCTTAAAAAGTGATTAATTGTATTAAATATATTTAATTATATGTTACATATATAAAGGGATAAGAATTACCTTTTCGACAAAATGGTCGACACTGAACTGCTTGGAAATCTCCGTGGCGATCTCTTTGCCTACCTTCTCCTCCTGCTTGGTCCTCTCCACTTTGAGCTTCTTGATGCCCGAAATATCTTTCGACATTTTCAGTTCAGCGATGAGGTCTTCTTTCTGTGCTAGGAATGGAGTGTCTGTACCTATGGAAGGCAACAGATCGTACATAAATTGATTGTTTTTACATTTCATCACAATAGTTTAAATAAGTAAATATCAGAATTTGTAAAATAATGCATCATTCACAACTTAAAGGACTTATAGATAAAATGTAACACATAAAATATTACCAAGCATTCGATAAATGATATTTTTATCTAATATTACCAGTGAATATTACTTAATTACTTATTATTGTGTATGAATTAAGATTACAACAGTTATACTTAATGTTATAAAGTTCTTGTTAGAATATTACCTTAATATGAATATAATTATTAAAGCATAGATAGATAAATAGAATATAGATAATTACATAATATTTTTGTAGCATTCTTTAAAGGTTGGGTTTAGTATTATGTTCTGTACTCCTATATTTTATAGGAGAAACAAAATAATTAGAATTACTATATATAAAAACATAATTTTAAAAATTGACTATACCAGTGTAAAATTCTTCTATCTATTCAAGTTTTGCTTATATTATACTAGGACATTGTGACAATTTAACTTGATAAAACATTTTTCTTACAATTTTACAGTTGCATCCTTGTTCCACTAGGGACAACTAGATAATAAAAAATCATCAAGTAATATAAATGTTTAGTTAAAACAATGCTTTAATAACTTTAAATGCTCTAAAAAATGTTTTAAAATTGAATAAAAGTGAATTAACAATAATCAAAAGGTATATTGTACCCAGAATATATTCTTTTGAATAAACGTATTCAAATGTTCCATCATTTGAATTAATACATCGATAGTTAAGAAATAATATATGTTAAGCACACCTTGTACGTTCAATATTATTAAATCAATATTAAATTCCTGACAGTATATTGACCTTCAGGAGGGATATATGATAACAATATTGATACAATAATACAGATCATAAAAGGGGACCATAATTTCTAAAAATGGAGATTTCAAGTTTTGATGTCATTGATCTCGTTGAATGAACTGTACTTCGTAGTCATGATACATGAGGGCGAAATTCGTGAACTAGAAATTTGTAAAATTTAGTACCTGATGAGTCATCGATGTTTGTGGAGTCGTCACTAAAAGAAGCTGGGAAACATTATTGTAACAAAATTGTGTGCTTAAATCATGAAAACACAACAAAAACAAGAACGATTTCAATATTTAATTGGGTTTTAAAACAGTTTATAATCCATACTATAAAGTATTCAGTTTCTTCTAGAAGATGCATCACTTCTTAAACTAGCGGATACAGGATTTAGGTTTTTTTTTTTGAGGTGGGGGTCTTCAGCCCGATAGGTTTTTTTTTTCATGTATATAACGATAATTACTTTGGAAAAAAAATAAACTAACTACCTATATGAAATGGTGTTTAAGTAATACTTGAAGTCCTATTAAATGTAATTACAGGGACAATAATACTTTAAAAGATAATTTGTTTCCATAAAACAGAGTTACATTTCACTATTTTGAGGAGGGCCTTCAGCCCAAAAGTCCCCCCTCCCCCAAGTAGATCCGCCTGTGACATCTTATTGTTAGTCAAGATAAAATTAAATATATAAACTAAAGGCAAATTAAAATTGTTAATGTATACAAAACAAATAGAAAATTTATGAATAAGTTTGATGTAGAATGCTGTCGAACCGATAATCTTAAAAGAATGTTTTCTCCGGAGGGTAAACAAAACAAAAACTGTAAACATTAAATTAAAGAAAAGTTGGAATTCGAGAAAGCTGCGGAGCTCTGTAACGAAAACGAAATTGGCCAGGTCGGACACAGAACTGACTCGATTAGGGCAACAACTAGGACGAGATGGTTGAAACAATTAATAAACTCTTCAACAGGTGAGCTATGTATTACCTACATCAAGAGGTGCCTCTACTTATGTACTTATGTACCGCTATGTACCAGTAGGTACTACTGGTATATGGCGGGGAAGAAGTCGTTGGCAGACTGTCTTTCAAGCAGCACCTCCAGGTGAACTGTGCGCAGGACACCGACGAGGGATCGGCTCGGAGTTAATGATCCTTGCAAAATTTATATTTTTATAAAGGACACCCCCAGGACATAGCAAACAGGTGCACCACCGCCCAAATTGAAGGCATTATTCATAATTAGGTTATATTTTTAGCTAGGCTGGCGCCCACTCGTAACGTTAACCTTCTCAGCAATTTCAATTTCGTTTTTAGAAATGTAATTTTAGCACTAGTGAGAGTCCGCACACCGTACAATTTTGACTAAATATAACCCAAGCAATCTATATATATATTGTGATATCGGAATCTATATTTTACGAAGTTGAGTTTTGGAACATATTACAGTGGATATAAAAACCTTGATAAGACAGCTAAATTGCGATTAAAGCAATTTGTTCCATACTGTTACAGAGATCCTATAGTATTTTTTAAAAATTAAATCCTATAACATCACAATTTAATGTAAATTGAGTTTATACTTGGGTAAGTTTCTAAACTCAGCATTAAGGCCATGTATCTGGTCATGTCCTCATTCAGCGAAACGATACCCTATTTTTAGCCGTTGCCCTTATAATGAAGAAATTTAAAATGTCATTTTAATATATATATATAAATTGAAAGTGGTCTACCAGACTAAAAAATGTATATTATTCAATATAGGCACATTCTGAGTTGCGTCTGACCTATTACCTAAAATAACACCAAATATCCAGTGTTCGAGTAAAATGTCAAACACCCGCATCACTAATCAATGCTAATAATGGTTTCAATTCCTTGATTTATTTCTTTTGTTTTGTTCTGTAAGCAATTTAATAACCTTTCAAAAGATTATATATAAAATTTACCATGAAACTTATACCTTTTGAGATACGCTAAAAACAATTCTATTCTTCATAACTTTCTTCTTTTTTTTTTACGGGAATGTATTTCATACATGAAAATTAAAAAGTATTTAAGAAGAAGATTGTAGGAAACTTTCATTAAATCTTCAGTTATGGCCCTACACTTTATGGAAGCATATCTTATATATTATTTCTCAAATATATATCCCTTTTCCGGCTCTCAGGAGTTTGACGAATGAGATGTCAATAGAAAGGGAATATCACGTAGAGTGCGCGAATACACTTTCGTTTTAATGATAAACTAACATACAATCTGATTTGACTTACTATTTTTTCCCTGAGAATTTGAGCCTTTTGTCTTTTGCCGTCATCAGATGTTTATAGCAATGATTAGAAGCTTTGTGTGTTTTTTTTGTATTCAAAGGGCTGTGACACGTTAAAATTTTATGCGATTATAATACTTTTCTTACATAGTAGCGGTAGGATAGTAAAAATGTGTTTACTGAAATGAGAACATACGTAACATACACAAAGGCATGTATAGATGCTTATGTTAATATCATATATACAACCACGTTAATGGTGGAGAGATAGTTGATTGTAGATAACATGGTTAGGCTATTAGCTAGAGGTGAGAGTCAAAGTGTGAAACACAAATAAAAATTAAAGAAATTGTTTTATTTTGTAATAACGTTTAGCCCTAAGTTTCAGTTCTTCAATCAGGGCTACAGTAGGGAGGATATAGACCGAATACTAAATAGGTAGGTTCTCTATATTCTCCGGATGTGTAGTCCTAATAAAACCCTAAACGATAAAATTAAACGCATTTTAAAAATTTTCTTTGTGTCTCATTGTGACTGCAATCTCCAGCTAACACCCCCAACCATGTCCCCTTGTATCATATTACCCTCAGCAAGACTAAGTTCTACTCCACGCCACAAGATTACAAACACATCAACTGACCTCTGTGCTCCTCCTCTTCGGCTCGCAACCTCTTCTTGGCCCTTATCCTCCGGAGTGCCTTGCCCAGGCCGAACCTCTTGCTCCCGAAGACCGGCATGCTGGATGATCGCCCACTGGCCGCCTCGCTCTGCTTCCCCCCCGAAGATCCCCCCTCGCTGGATAATCTGCCACTTTAATTAGCTCGGGTGAGCCCCCGACACGCTTCCCCCTATCTGACCCACTTTCCGGGGAAATCTTCCTCACCTTGACGCCTTTCTTCGGACCTCTTCATCCGTTTCCGCTCTGTACCAACCCTTGATGAGGATTTATAGCGGTGGGCAATCGTCCACTACACCGAGCTCTTAGTGCTCAACATTTATTGTAAAAGCAGTGATACTAATAATTCTATGCTTCCATCCTTCAATATCTCTTTTATCTGAGAGGAAGATTCCAGATCAACAATTGTTCCACGAAATCCTTTTGACTTTTCTAATTCTAATTTTCTGAAATAGCAAAGAAACTTCCCTATCTGTTATAGATGGAGAAAAGGACCTTTTCTTCATCTTAAAGGTTTTCCAGTTCACGAATCTTCAAGTCACTCATGTCGCTAAAGACTAATCAATGACGTTTGAATATATTTACTTTAGAATCGGTTCTCCAATGTTTTTTTTAACGACTCTTTTAGTGGAATAAAAAAAAAATAAAGTGTGTGCTTAGGCCACACGAAGGAATTGAAAACATCAACGCGTCGAGATTAATAATATGAAATATAAAATATAATTAATAGCTCATTATAAAGAGGATGAAATGATGAACATTTCTCTCGCTTACAATTTACTAGTTAGATTTTTAGTTTCTAAGGCAATTAATCGTACCCGCGTCATAGTATAATATAAGCAAAATTTGTATAGATAGAAGAATTTTACAATGGATACAATCAATTTTAAAAATTATGTTACTTATATATATATAAATACACATCTGTACCACTACAACTGAAGAATTTTGGGTTCAGTACTATAGAAGGAAGTACTGTTTCATGGTCAACGCAGATGATTTGACCGAGATCGACTCAACCGCCAGGTTTTCCTCCTAAACTAATTATTTAAGTAAGAGTAGCCACTTTATAAAGGCTAGGTGCGTCCCAGGCCGATCTCACGACCACAGGATCCTTTTGATGTATTCGTTTCCTTTTTCTTTTTACAAGTATTTTATATTTTTGTTATTATTTTATTAATATAAAAT